TGTTTTCATTTGTGTCTTAGCACCATTGGTTTGATTTTTACTGCACTTGTTGATTGATGTCATTGGTCAAAGCGATTTTTGGTGCCAAGAAACAAAGCACGTTTTTTAGCTAATTTGATAGTGGTGATTCCGAAAAAGAACTCGGTTTTTTATGGTTAGGTACTATTTTTGCTGTAATGAACTTGCTTATTTTTGGAAAAATGATCTATTTACGATATTAGCTGATCGCAAAATTTAGTTAATAATGGTCGACAAAAACCATCAATTTTTGAGGTAGGCCGAGAAATGTACGTCATCCGCATGAAATAATAGATTTTTATGACAAAAAACGTAATTTAGAGTCAAAAATTTTAAAATAGATGTACCGATACTTTTTCCAATTCATCGATAAAATTCAAATTAACTGATAATTTTTATTAGAAGTAAATCGGATAATTAAATAGACATCAAAGAAATGAAACCATAAAATCTGTTTGGTATTCATAAATTTATCCCATCACTTTTAGTCTTTCGCTACGGAAAGATACCAAGGACATTGAGAGCATTTTGTTTTCACAATTGGAAAGAAAGTCAAACTAAAGACATCTTAATTGTACATTATTTAAGTCCCTTTTGATACTTCTGGATTATTAAAAGGGACATAACATACCCTCCAGAAAGAGGATTTTTTTTTTACCATAGTCCTTATGTTCACGAAGGTTTTTATTTCTGCTGTTAGTTTATTAAATAATTTGATGAATATACTTGTTCGTCTTGGTATATTCAATTCTGTTATTTTTAAGACTTAGGTTCTGATTATTATTGCAAAAATAGTATTTCTCAATAAACAGAGCAATATTTATTGTTTTAAATACGAATTAAGAGGTTTACACGATTTTATTTTGAGGAATATTGCCATCGGTCAATATCATATATATAAAAAAAAAAAAAGAAAAAAATGCTTTATTTTAAAAGACGAGGCATTTTTGCACAGCAATAATGGTAACTAACGAAGAAAAGGTAAGGTAATTTTCAGATTCAGCGCCTTCATATTAGCTAAAAAGATGTTTGGTGTCTCCACACCTTTTAATTTTTTTTTTTATTTTGACCAGTGTTAATTTCATTTATTTCCTCCACGATAAATTTGAGTTACCTGAAGAATTTATAAATGGACTAAAGTTTGTTTTATTAACTTTCTCAAGGCTGCTATATATTTGTAGTATCCAGTAAGATATAGTCAGTAGATATTTTTTTAAAACCAATGCTGATTTGATGGTCAAATCAAAATGAATTTATTACTATTACTTTTGGTAATATAAAGTTGGTCAGCATCTGCCTTAGAATGGGGCATCTTACTGCAAGTAATTTTCTTAACTTTGAAATCTTATTCTTTATTTCAGCTAGTATTCAATCGATAATATTTTACCTATAAGTAATTTGTTTCTATTAAATTTATATTCTTAATCCTCTTATTGGTATTGGGATTAGTTTCTTGTATTCTTCTTATTCTTTTGTAGAACATGTTGGTAACTTCTTTGTTTGCTATGTCAACAGTCTCTTGGATTTCTTAAGATTTATAGGATCTCAACACTTTTATAGCGTTAACTATATCAAGCATAATGTTATTGGTTTTCTGAAGCGTACCTTTCCTAAACGTGATTCTCACACACTTGTCTAAGCCAAACTTATTGCCTGTATCTCCTTTACTCTTCTTGAAAGGACATCTGAAGCCTAATCATATTTACAGGATGAATTACGTGATTTATAAATCAGGTTGGAGCAATCTAATTTTCAATAGATGGTGTTTGAACACGCGATTTCGTTTTGCACATGATTGAAACTTATGATATATATATATATATATATATATATATATATATATATATATATATATATATATATATATTTGAATAAAAAACAGACCACGTTAAGATTCCATGTAATAAGTTATTTCACCATAACCCTTTTAACAGGGTTCTGGATCATCAGATTTTACTTCCAAAAGTTGAAATGAAAATGAAAAGAAATTTTACGTTTTTGACGGACCTCATCAAGTATACGTAAAATTAACGAAGTGAGGAAGTGAGGAGGGGAGAGAGGATATGAGTGTGTCATATGTATCATTTCAATTTCCTATTTTAACCCCAGTGTGTCGGCTTAGTTGTTGCTCAAATTTAACGCGTCTCGTCTGTAGATATAGATGGCTAAGGGGTGGGGGAGAAGACCGACATTAAAGGAAGAAGCTACAACAACCCCAATCAATTATATTCCACAACAGGTTTCATTCAAATTCTTAGACGCTGTTAATTCGCGTTACTTTAATGTGCATATTTGGGAGGTTAAGGTTTGATAAATATCTAAATGTTAAAACAATCTACGAAGAAATTAATTTGAAATTCAGTGGAGTTTTGGGTATTTACTATGAACCAGTCGATTGGAAAAATTCATAGACAGTACATTGAAAGAGTAATCCATTTTATATTTAGTAATATTTTTTATTCTACTAAAACTTTTATCTTATTGCTTGTTATGTTGACATCTATTCTTTTGATTTTTGTTCATTAAGTAAATATATATATATATATATATATATATATATATATATATATATATATATATATATATATATTCTGGTTTGGTTTGTTCAGTTTTCAATGGTCATTTAATGCCGAAAGCTTTTTTTTTTGGTAATATATTTGTTTTGTCAAAAATCTATTTCTGTTAATATTTTTCCACAAAAAATATATAACTGGTAATATTATTTTAAAACATGTATTGCTGGTAATATTTTTTTTCCTTCAAAAATTTATTTCTTGTAATAGTTTTTTTACAAAGTATTTCTAGTATTAAAACCTTTTTTTAAACTTTCATAATACTTTTTACTTCAGTTTTCGGGGTTAACTATTTGCCCATAGCTGGGACCCTAACAGGTGCTACCACCCCGGGTCAGTGTGGACCTGGGAACACCAGCAATTAAGAGGTGGTTCCACGCTCCTTAATCAGAGGCCTTTATGCTGGACGTATTTTATCGTCTTACCCTGGACGCGAATGTAGTTTATCGTCATACCCAAGACGCATACATATTCTGAAGGGAGATATCTCAATACCCCTTTCTATAGGATGCGTGTGCCGATTTGAATTATATATATATATATATATATATATATTTACGATAAAAGGGAAAATGAAGAAATATTTCTCGTCATTTTGTATCTTTTTTTTATGTCATCATATGCTGTTTACATAAATAGTGTTATAGTTGTGTGTAGGTTCTTAAGTCGTTCTGAACGGGAGATTTCAAAACATTTACACATTTCAAAAGACAACGTCCATCTGAGAATCTATTGCTGGAAAACTGTTGGGATTGGAAATGCAATGGGTATTAAGAGATCCTTTCAAAATGCAACTATTCCTTCAGACAAATAGTCTTTCTAATTGGCTAGTTTTTAAGTCGAGAGGCAGTTTGTAGCAATTTGTCTAGTTTCAAATTAATATTAGGCTCACATTAAAAATATATTTTCGCCCAGTTACAAATCAAACTAATTCCGTGCAATTAGTTAAGCTTTTAAATTACTTTCGTACTTTGATCTCATTTAAACTTGAAACGAATTGAAACCAATTTTGCGCATTTAATTTCCGTTCAAACTACTTTTGAAATAATTAGGTCAGTTTAAATTAATTTTCTGCTTTTAGTTAAAATTCAAAATAATTTTGATTATTTAGTTAAGTTTCAAAATAATTTGGTGCAATTAGATATTATCCAAATTAATTATATTATTTTATGTTAGTTTAAAACCAATTTTATGCTTTAAGCTCAGATTAATATTCAATTTAATTTGTGTATCTAATTTACGTTTGATTTTGTGAAGTTAGCTCAGGTTCAAACTAATTTGCGCAATTAGTTCGTTCAAATTGATTTTATGTTTTTTGCTCAAATTCATTTTGAGCTTTAACATATTTAAAATTCAAATTAATTCAAACTAATTTTCTGTCTGTAGTTCTGTTTCAAACTACTTGTATGAAATCAGCTGAGTATAAAATTAATTAGGTATAATTAGTTCAGTTTAAAATGAATGTAATTTTGCATTGAGCTCAGTTCAAATTAATTAATTTTGTTGAATTAGATCAGTTTCAAATTAATTTTGTGCTTTTATCTCATTAAAAAATTAAAACATTCAAATTAATTATTGTGCTTTTAGTTCAGTTTAAAACTAATTTCATGCTTAGTTAAAAGTTTAAATAATCTTGTTCATTTAGTTCAATTTCAAACTAATTTTGTGCATTTAGCTCAAATTTAAACTAATTTTGAACAATTAGATCAATCTAAAATCAATTTTGTTCCTTCAACTCAGTTATAATTCTAAATTATTTAAACTAATTTTGTGAATTTAATTCAGTTTCTGACTAATTTTTGCATAGATAGCTCAATTTCAAATTAATTTTGTTATTTTAACTCGGTTAAACTCCAAATTAATTCAAATTAATTTTGAGTATTTAGTTCTGTTTAAAGCATATTTTATGCATTTAGCTCAATTTCAAAATAATTTTTGTGCTTTTAGCTAAGTTAAAATTAAAACTAATCCAAACTAATTTTGAGTATTATTTTAATTTTAATCTAATTTTATGCAATTAGCTCAGTTTCAAATTAATTTGTTTCCTTTGCTCTCTTAAACTTCAATCTGATTCAAAGTATTTTTATGGATTTAGCTTAGTTTTAAAATAATTTTGTGCATTTAGTTAAATTTTCTATTTGATCTTAGTTTAAATCGTTTGTTTCATTTTCACTTTTTAAATCTATTGTCCTTTGATCCCTATATATTGATATATTTCTTTCTGATTTCGTTAAAAAATAACGGAATCGAGTGTTCCATCATTAAAGCTCAATATACACCTTTCAAAAGCAGAAACTAGGATATTCAAATCTCGTAAACTGGCGCTGTGAATCACAAAGAATTGCACCAAGTAACAGACACCAAGACATAACAAAGCTGTTGACATTCCAGACTACTTAAAAATGAATTTTAGAAAGGAAGGAAGGAAGGAAGGAAGGAAGGGAATGAAGGAAGGAAGGAACAAAGGAGGGAGGAAGGAAGGAAGGAAGGAACAAAGGAGGGAGGAAGGAAGGAAGGAAGGAAGGGAAGGAAGGAAGGAACAAAGGAGGAAGGAAGGAAAGAAGGAAGGAAGGGAGGGAAGGAACGAGGGAGGAACGAGGGAGGAACGAAGGAAGGAAGGAGGGAAGAAAGGAATGAGGGAAGAAAGGAAGGAAGGAAGGAAGGAAGGAAGGAAGGAAGGAAAGAAGGAAGGATGGAAGGAAGGAAGGAAAACAAAGGAGGGAGGAAGGAAGGAAGGAAAGAAGGAAGGAAGGAAGGAACGAACGAACGAGGGAGGAACGAGGGAGGAAGGAAGGAAGGAAGGAGGAAGAAATGAATGAGGGAAGAAAGAACGGAAGGAAGGAAGGAAGGAAGGAAGGAGGAGGGAGGAAGGAAGGAAGGAAGGAAGGAAGGAAGGAAGGAAGGAAGGAAGGAAGGAAGCAAGCTAAGTCTTTGTCAATACTGAGATTAGCAATAACAGTTACTGGACTTTAGAGATTTATTTCTCTGAAGAATTTAATAAAAATATTTATGAATTTCAACCAAGGTCAACACTGCTTGATTGTTCAATGAATGCTTAACGTTTCCATATAAGGAAATGACCAATACTAATTTTCCCATTAGAAATGAGGAGAACAGATGTTAAACTGCGTCTTTTCGCAGGGAATAAAAAAAATCGTACACGAGGAGAACCGGTTGTTCGGTCAGTGAATGCCGAATGTTTCCTTATAAAGAAACGGCTATTTCTTGCCTTTACCATTAGAAATGAAGAGAGCACATACTACACTTTCATCCCAGCCCAATAGCCAGGGAGTAAATAAAAGATTCTCTCGAGAAACACTGGCTTCTCCTGATTTTTTTTGTTTTTTTTTATAAAAAAAAGAGCTACTAATACAACTACTATCACCATTATCACCTAAACTATAATAAAAAAATGGACAAGTGTAGAAACGTCAAAGTTGATAAATATAAATTTATGTAAGTATAAACACAAAGTAAAAAATCATATTCAGGTGAGTTAGTAAAAAAAAAAAAAACAATATATACGAATACAGAAAATCACTGTAACTGTGGAAAAAAAATGAAAGAAATAATAATATATATATATATATATATATATATATATATATATATATATATATATATATATATATATATATATATATATGCAATAATTTTCATCAATACATGTTTCAATAAATAATATTGACAAGTTTTGTCTATTTATTGTAAGTTCCTTTCATATTGTCTGATAAGCTTAATCACATTATCATTGAAAGACGAAAGGAAAACAACATGCCAGCCCACGTACTCAATTCCGGAAAATCCTTGTTGACAAACTTAAACATGAAAACAATAAACAAAAATTGAGACATTCTTGAAGCTATATACATAAAACAGTTCAAACCTAACCTGAACAAAATAACTATGAAATCTCCAAAAATATTCTTAAATGCCTATAATTTATAACAGAAAGCATTAGTTTATACCAACGGCTTCCAATGTGGCACCATTTACCAAGGCAGAAAAAGAAAAGAAAGGAAAGAAAGGAAAGGAGAGGCGAAGACCCAAAGCGTGGATGATAAGCAGAACACCACGGCTAAGAGACAATGGATAAAGGATATTTTGATAAGTAACAAATGGCGAAAGAGGGTCATTACAATGGCAGAGAAATTCTGAGTGGATAAAGGAATCGGGTGTATTCTGGCGACGGGCTGTGTTATCTGGGATACATAAACAAACCGCTAGTGCGGGAAAGCATCTGATTAAGCAAACCCCAGACCGACTAGCCAAAGAAAAGTCCAATTGAAAATGTTAATTTTGATAATTGACAAAACACAGGTGAAACTACAGGGCTTGGATAGATATAAAAAATTAATTGTGTCAAAAGCCGCACACGATGTGTCCACTGACCGATTTCTTTCGACGGAACATGCGATAATAAAACTATGTTATCAGAAATGTGTATCGAAAAATGAATGGGAACTTAGAAATGTTTTTTTTCGAGGCGACGGTCTGGCCGTGTTAAAAAGACCACGCATTCTGATAATTAGCGATAAGATGACTGACGAATCCCAGGTGAAGAACAAGAGTTATGACCACCGTCGTTCGTATTGTTCTGTTTGCGACTAGAGAAAATGATAACTGCGATTAAAAGAAAGAAAAGGAAAAGAAAAAGGTAATTTTTTTTTTTTTTGTTAAGCAAGATATTTTTTTTCTGAAACAAAGCCGCGGAATCATTACGCCCGACTAAACATCATTGGTCAGTGGTGATCACGTGACGCACGGAGGAGAACCCTGTCACCGCCCATCTAGAGGATGGGTATGAGAGGTTTCTCCGAAGAAGTGGGGAGGGCGGTTCACGCCCCTCTGAAGTATGGTGAGAAGGTGGGAGTAAAGAAGGCTCCCAAAAATGGAAAAAGTGGAAAATTCCTAACCAGAAATAAAAGAGGTGGATATGTATTTAGAATTATCGAGGAACCCCGGCGCCGACAAACCCACCCCGGTTTTGGTCGGCGTCCATAAGCGAAGTCGCAGCGGTTGAAAATCAGTTAAGTTGCAGTTTTGAGTTAAGTTGGAGTTGAGTTCCAGTTCGGTTCGAGAGAATTCCCGCAGATAGCTGACCAAGATTCACGCAAATTCCGGACTTCTCTTCAATCCAAGAACAATTAATTTGAAGAGAGACTTAGATCCAGACCACCAGAATAAGTTTTTTTTTCGACTTTCGTCCGAAGACACACCGAAAAACCAATTTTTAAAGAGCAAACAACTTGAAGCGTTAAAACTCGCCTAACGGAAAACAACGTGTCACAATCCATAGAACGGGTCGGAAATAGACGCAGTCCTATGTATCCAACAACTAGACATAAAGTTTGTTATCCTTTTTTTTTGTTACCTTGAATTTTTGAGTTATCATTTTCTTTTCTTTTATGCATATTTGTGTGGTGTCACCCCCGTTGAACTCGATTTGCATTACGGCCCCAACTACTGACTGATCTCGTCTGCCTAAGATCAATTCACAACGTGGGTAGGCAGACTGGAGATCAATGCAGTTACTTTGGTAACCAGGCGTTGGAAGCGAGTTGGGAACGACGAGGCTGATATCGAATCTAACCAGATTCCCATCCGAATCACCAAAAGGTTAGAATGTCACATTTGGGTGCCGCGACCGATACCAAGCCAGTTGGTCGTCACAGGACGAGACAACATGACTGGCACGACAGGCGGACGTCACGTTTGGAGCGGCGACACCCGAACGGATATATATTCAAATAAATATAAGAACCATAATATATAAAATACATGAAATGACCGAAACAATAATTGCAAATTATATAAAATTATTAAATTACTTTTAAGCAATTCATTTTTCCAATTAAATTTTAAAACCGTTAATTTTTGGGACATTTGAAAGAAAACGTGTCACTTTTCCTCGATATCTCTGTTAAAAAGTTACTGTAAATTATTTTATTATTCGTTATAAATAATGACTTCATAATCTCTGTGTATTTGAGCGTTGTAACTTAGGGAAGATCACTGAATAGAATAATACGAAAGTTGGAAATGAACGATAATACTTAGGACAAGAACAACACATATAAGATTCGCCAGCGGCCTGTAGAAGAAGTAGTCAACTGCTAGAAATGAATCAAGTGAATTCCACAATGAATCTTCAACTGCAGGATATCTACCAACGTCTCAACGCAGTCAGATGTGGCACAAGGCCGAATTTAATGTGGAGTATCCAAGCCCGTGGGCTGGGCCAAAAATTCCTCGTAGACTTCGTATAAAACGGGGTCGGGCAGCTGTTTCCCGAGACGAGACTCTGTCCTTCGATATAGGCTCGTCTAGGGATCGTCTCTGTGCGGAAGCAGAGACTTTGACCAGCATAGCATGAAACGAATCTCGACTGCAGACCAACATACAGTATTTACTACTTTAATTATGTGAATGGAGACATACTCATTATTATCCGTAGGTATACTACAACATTTAGGATTAAAACCCGGTATATATTGTTATTTTTTCTATCTGCTGTCTTTTTTTCCAAAATTAACAAACTTTTCGATATTTGTATTTCTTTCTAGTGTTTTTATTTACCAAACATTATACTTTTAAGTATATTAAAAAACATTAATTTTGGGTTAACTTCTAAGACTCGTGATATACATAATGTTTACATGCATACATTAAACGTCGCCATAGCCGTGTGGGATCGTGGAGACAAGCTCCCACTGTCTATAAAATATTTCCGTGTCATGCATCTCAAATAGACCCCGACAACGAGTGAAGGGCGATGGTAGACGACTGGCGCCTTGTAACCAGTAGCTTTAGGTAGATGAATATTGACAGCCCAGGAAGGTAATACATCTAGATATAAGAATACCCTGCCAGGTGTTCATATCCAACTAGACACGTAAAAGGTTACGGAAGAAAATCAAGACGGAAAAGCCTTGAAGGCCGTTGACTGTAAAACAGTTAACATATCAGCAACTGCTTCAGTCAAGCCGGCGCCAAATTTAATTTTCTTTGCAACTTGCCGAGATGGAGGCATGGATTCCGGGTTGCGCACGGCTTATATATAGCATCAAACAGGCCTGAGTCCGGGAGTGATCACTCCAGCCTCCCCACGTTGGGCTGGATTTGACTAAACAAGGCGCTGTCTTTATCTCATGCGATACAGGGATCCCGAAGAGACAAATAAATATCTATATGCATAACCATTATCGACTTATTTGTTAATTATTCTCTCTATTAAAAGTTTCATTAACATATTTCCCCCGCCGGTATGGGATAAATTGCAAGATATTTTTAGCTCTTTATCTTTGGTTGGAATGTAATTTAGTTGAACGAGAACAAATATACGGATCACGAAGTGATAAAAGTTTACCGAAGAGAAAAACGGATCCCGAAGAGATACACGGATCCCAAAGAGATAAACAGATCCCGAAGAGATAAAAGGATCCCGAACAGATATAGGGATCCTGAAGAGATAAATGGATCACGAACAGATACACGGATCCGGAAGAGATAAACGAATCCCGAAGTGATAAACAGATCCCGAAGAGATAAACGGTTCCCGAAGAGCTAAACGGATGACGAAGAGATAAAAGGATCCCGAACAGATACAGGGATCCTGAAGAGATAAACGGATCCCGAAGACATAAACGAATACCTATATACATAACTGTTATCTCCTTATTTGTTCATTTTTTTCTCTATTAAAAATTTCTTTAGCATATCCGCCCCCCGGTATGGGATAAATTGCAGGATATTGTTGTCTCTATAACATTGGTTGTTACCTAGTCTTGGTCAACGAGAACTTTGAACTAAAAGGAATGGAGAATTAAACAGTAAAACACTCCAAATGCATTTCACAAATAAAGAAAAGGAAGCTGTAGAGAGACATGATCGTCTACATCTTGATACGATGCAGTATTTAAGCGAGAGAAAGATTACATTTGTCTTTGCATCAATCTGGAGTCGTCATTGAATGTCGTTACTGTCGACAAAGTATCTTCGAGTTTATAATAATTTTGAGCCTACATTTTCGAATAATCTTTGTAGAATAAATGATTAATAAAATATTATCAAAGTAGACAATGAAGATTCAGAAGCACGAGTAACACTGAAAGAAAAATGAAGAAGGCGTATTTCTTGGGAGAATGCGAACATTAAATAGAAACGAAAAAAGCTAAAATAGTGTTATCAGGAAAATGACAGATGCAGAAATCCACAAAGGTGATATAGAGTTGCAAAACTTAAAGAAAAGGATACACAGCAAGGTGGTTGCACCAAAACTAATACAGAAGCAATTGAAACTGCTCACAGAAACCAAAAGCTAATAATAGAATTCTTCCCAATAATAATCCCCAAAATTTCTGGTTTGGTATAAAGTCAAGACAGAAAAGAAATCAAAGATAAGAGTCTCAAAGAGCAAATATCTTTATGTAAGGAAAATTTCTTTATCCTATTTGGTCAACCACGCCACATAGATGATAAGCTTGTGCTGAAAGTTCTTGATGGCTTAACAATAAGAACGCAGTATTGAAGAACTGAAAGAGTTCGTCAAAGGAAAGATCTATGCGGCAGTCCAACAGAAGAATGGAAAATTGGTTTCACAGATGATGCATTGCGAAATGTGTGCAACAAAAACATACAATGCCCTGGCACCAAATGCATTACACTGCAATCGTTTTGGAATTCTCAAAAATCAAAAAAAGAATATTTCTTGCATTCGTACATGGATTTCTGTTTCAGAACAGAAATATGTCTAAAAACTGTTCAAATGTAATACCAAAGAATGCAAGGAATAAACAGCTTTATGGCATCATTCACCATCTCAAAAAAAGGGACCGTCCAGAAGAATTGCAGCCATTTGAGAAAGCACATCTACTTAGTCTCACGTGAGAAATGGCCGGAGAACAAGTTAAAGTCCACATAAATGGAACGATAACATGATTCCTTCCTTTCAATCAAACAGAAGATTACAATGAGTTAATCATTGCGAAATTAATGATATTTAAAAATATTTTTATTTTAATGCATAACTCTTCACAAAAAGATATGAATATTGCAATGGAAACAACGACATTATGAAATATAAATTCAACCTGGAAGTAAAGACTGACTTATGAAATATGAATACCTCCTAAAAGAATAGAGGACAAAGTGAAATATGAAAACCAGATGGAAGCAAAAACGGCCATATCAAATATGAATGCCAACATGAAGTAAAAACGCCACTATTAAATATAAATGCCACATGGAAGTAATGACAACCCTATGATATATGCATCCCACCTGGACCAAAATATGTACCCATGAAATATGAATACCTCCTGAATTTAAAAACCGCACTATGAAATATGAATACGACAGGGAAGTAAAAATGCCCTATGAAATGTGAATTCCACCTTGAAGTAAAACGGCACCATGAAATATGAATAGAACACGGACGTAAAGACGTCTCCATGTAATATGAATACCACATGAAAGTATTGCGGGGCAATGTAAGGAATATAGCATGAGAAAATAAACTGTCTTAAAAATATGAATACCAACTGGATGTAAAAATGGCCCTATGAAATATGAATGTCAAATGGAAGTGAAGATGGCACATTGAAATATGTTTACCTTCTAAATGTAAAGACGGTCCTATGAAATATGAATACCTACGGCCCTATGAATTATTAATAACATCGGGAAGTACAGGCGGGACTATGTATTAATACTGAGAGTGAAGACGGTCCTATGAAATATGAATACCACCGTGAAGTATTGTCGTCACTATGAATACAAAGTGGAAGAAGGACCTATGAAATGTGAATAGCACCAGGAACTAAATGCAGCCCTATGAAATATGAATACGACTGAAAATAAAGACTGCCCTATGATACATAAATATCAGCTGGAAGTACAGACAGCCCTATGAAATATGAATAGAACCAAGATGCAAACACGGCTCTATGAAATATGAATAGAATCTGAAAGTAAAGACGGCCTTTTTAAATGTGAATACAACTTGGAAGCAATGACAGTTTTATGAAATATGAAGACATCCTGGAAGGCAAAATGCCATATGTTATGAGAAAACTAACTGCAAGTAAAACGTCCCTATGAGATATAAAGACCAACGTGAAGTAAATTCGTCACTATGAAATATGAATAGAAAATGAATGTAAAACAGCTTTATGGAATATGAATAATATCTGTAACTAAAGTCGTCAATATGAAATGTGAAAACCAACTGGAATTAAAGACGGACCTAAGAAATGTCCGTACCATTTGGAAGGAGAGACGGGACTATAAAATATAAATACGAATTGGAATTCAATTCGGCACTATGAAACATGAATAACAAATGGAATTAAAGACAGCACGAGGAAATATGAAGAGCACCTGTAAGTAAGACGGCCCTATGAAATATGAATAGAACCGGGAAGTAAGACGGCCCTATGAAATATGAATAGCACATGGAAGTAAGACCGCCCTATGAAATATGAATAGCACAGGGAAGTAAGACCGCCCTATGAAATATGAATAGCACCGGGTAGTAAGACGGCCCTATGAAATAATAGCACCGCAAAGTAAAACAGCCCTATGAAATATGAATTACACCAGGAAGTAAACGGCCCTATGAAATATGAATACTACTTTGAAGTAAAAAGGGCTCTATCAAATTTAAATACTACATGGAAGTAAAACGGGCCTATAAATACGACCTTGAAGTAAGGACGGCACTATGAAATATGAGCAGAAAGTTGTATAAAAAAACAGCCCTATAAAGTGATAACATCACCTGAAAATAAATATGAACACCACATGGGATAAAATCGGCACTATGAAATATGAGAAATACATGGAAGTAAATAAGACCGTATGAAATAAAAATGCAACCTGGAATTAAAACAGCCGTATGAAATATGGATATTATCTGGATGTAATCCGACCATATGAAATATGAATAGGAAGTCGGAGTAAAGTCGAAGTAAAGCTATGAAATATGAATCCCACCTAGAAATTAAACGGCACTATGAAATCTGAATGCAGCGTGTTAATAAAGACAGACCTATGAAATCTAAATACCACCACTTACTCCTCACGGTTCTATGAAGTAAGAATACGAAAAGTTGGCCCTGTGAAATAGGAATTGGAACATGAAGCAAACACGTTACAATGAAATATGAATAGGATCTGGTAGTAAAAACGGACTTATGAAATATGATTACATCCTAGAATTATGACGGGTCAATGAAATACGAATACCACGTGGAGGTAAAGACGGCCCTATGACGTATCTGTTCTACATAGAAGAAAATACGGCCTTATGAAACATCAATATGAATGGAAGTAATGACGGCTCTATGAAATATGAATACCATTAGTGTATGAACAGGCCTTATGAAATATGAATACCAACCTGGAAGTATTGACAGCCCAAGAAAATAGAATTAATATTGGGATGAAAAATAGTCTTATGAAATATAAATACGACATGAAAGTAAAGATGGTACTGTGAAATATGTGCCATCTGGATGTAAAAGCAGCACTATGAAATATGAGTACAAATTGGTAGTAAATACAGAACAATAAAGTATGAATACCGCCTGAAAGTAAAGACGACATTATGAAATATGAATGCCACGTGAATTGATATCTTCTTTATGAAATATGAATATCACATGAAGGTAAACATAGCCCTGTAAAATATGAATAGCAGCTGGAAGTAAAGACGGTCAAATGAAATATTTATACAGCATAGACGGCATTCTCAAATATCGCACTGAAGTAAAAATGGTTCTCTAAAATATTAATAGCACAGTGAAGTAAACACAGGCATTTGAAAAATGAATGCTAAGTCGAAGTAAAGTATATAATATGAAATATGAATAGCAATTGCAAATAAAACGGCAATATGAATAAAAGCTTGAAATAAATAAGGCTCTATTAAATAGGAATACAAAAATGAAGTAAAATCGGCCGTATGAAAATTTATATACCAACTTGAAGTAAAGTCGACCCTATGAAATATGAATATGTCCAAGAAGTAAAGAGGACGCCATAAAATATGAATAGCACCCTGTTGTGAAATCTTCACTATGAAATATGAATATCCTCTGGAAGTAAAAATGGCTTTATGAAATATGAAAACGTCCAAGAAGTAAAGAGGACACCATAAAATATGAATAGCACCCTGTTGTGAAATCTTCACTATGAAATATGAATATCCTCTGGAAGTAAAAATGGCTTTATGAAATATGAATATGTCCAAGAAGTAAAGAGGACGCAATAAAATATGAATAGCACCCTGTTGTGAAATTGTTACTATGAAATATGAATATTACCTGAAAGTAAAAATGGCTATATGAAATATGAATGAGTTGTAGGGTGGAATGTAATTTGTCAACTATTCAGTGACATTTTTGGATTGTATCGAGTTTGGAAAATGAAGAATTTTCAACTTCTGTCCATTCATCTTCAGCCTTATCTCAATGATTGCAAAAGAGAACATATCGTGTACTTTGTAGATAATATCTATATATATATATATATATATATATATATATATATATATATATATATATGTGTGTGTGTGTGTGTGTGTGTGTGTGTGTATGTGTATGTATATATATATATATATATATATATATATATATATATATATATATATATATATTCTTAA